TATATATATATATATATATATATATATATATTTTCATTTGTATTTATATTTGTATAATTGATTCTGCATTCCATTATACCATATCTAGGGTATTGACAAAAGAAACTTTCTATCCTTCCTATACAGTCTATTAGGCCAATGCAACGACACCAACACCAACATTATGCCAGGTCAAACTCTTTCTCATGTCTGCGCTTGTGGTCAATGATATTAAAAGAGGCCAGTGTAAGAACAAACTAACTTTCACGCAAGCTGGACCAAATTTCATGAGATCACTTGGGCAACCATGTTTTGAGGAAGGCCTTGAAGCTGATCTTGAAAACAGATAATTGCAACAAAAACATCATATACCTAATATCACAACGGCTATTATCCACATACTTCAGAACTGCTCTTATTCCATACTTTGTGAAATTTTGCCAACTTCAAGTACTTTACCCATCCAAAGATACACCAAGTTCAACCATAAAATCCCACCCAGTGTCCTTAAAAAAAAAAGTAAATCCTAGGACTCAATGTCAGGAAGCATGAAGCATCTATGGGGGGGTTGAGCAAGCAACTCTGCCTCTGTGTATATCCCAATCTGTGTCCAGTCACCACACGGACTTACTGCACACGAATGACCACGGAATGAACGCCTGCTCTCAACAAACCTGTCCCTCTCCCATGGCCTATAGAGAATGAATAGTTCTGTCAGCATTTTGCATTATTTAATCAACAGAGGGCAAGATCAGTCATTTATCTTTTTATTGAATTAATATCCTTTGTATTCACTGTTCTTTATTTCTTAATCAAGCACTGATTACCAGGTGATTCAGTTTGTTAGTATAATTATTCATGACCCCATCTTTATCCAATTCTTTTAGCCTCAATGTTTTACAAAGACAATGAGTAACAGCATTTTAGTGTGATTAATTAGCCTTCACATCACCTTTGAGGTTCAATAACTGATCTTATAACATAGAAAGGGAATAAAATTAAGGGAAAAAATATTTGATCAATACTTCACCAGCACAGAAAAAAGTCAAAATAAAGATATCCAAATAGGGCCAAAGCAAAACAAAACTTACCCTGAGGATTTCTGGGGATATATAATCCGGTGTCCCTACTGCTACATTACTCTGCACCGTCCCATCTTCCTGAAGTCGTAAACACGAGCCAAAATCCGCTAACCGTATGTGGCCATTGGCATCCAGCAACACGTTGTCCGGTTTGATGTCTCGATGGACGTATCGTAACTTATGTATAGAATCTGTAGTGGGGATGAGGGAGGTGATTTTTTAATCTATAACTTATATTCAATGGCATTTTTAAAAATCTTTTACAAATATTTTCCAGTTATTAATAACAATAAAAATGCTTACCAATCGCAAGGATCATTTCTGCAATGTAGAAACGAGCCATGTCCTCGGGCAGTCGATCTTCAAATTTACTTAACAATGTGAGCAGGTCGCCGCCACAGTAGTAATCCATTACCAGGTACTGAAGGAGGGAAAGATCCAACATTGTCATTGTTTTTGGTATTTCTATCATAAATAGTTTCATATGTCAAAAATGTTTTATATTAATTTGCTATAAATCATACTTCAACAATCTTGACAGGAAAGGTTCTGTAATCATGCTTACAAATGAATTAAACTCTCCCTCAGATATCAAAAGACAGAGATGACATCTTAATTCTTAAAATAAACTATCAAATGCTTCAACAAATCAGAAATCACTATCAGATTTCCAAAATAATACTCTCAAACAAATAAAAAATAGATAAAAATCCTACTGCAACTGCAAAGCTGTATTTAAAAAAAAATAATAGAATTACCAGGTTACTATCATCTTGAAAGGCGTAGTGAAGATTCGTTATCCACCGCCGGTCTCCATACACAAGCACATCACGCTCTTCATGGAAGCAGGCAGTTTCCGCCCTATGAGGAAAAGGTATTTTCGTTATCATCATTATCCTTATTATCATAATGTTCATTATCACAAAAATTATCACCATTAAGACTAAAAGTAGAGCTGAAGTAAAAGGAGGAGACGGAGGAGGAGGAGGAGGAGGAGGAGAAGGAAGGAGGAGGAGGAGAAGGAAGGAGGAGGAGGAGGAGAAGGAAGGAGGAGGAGGAGAAGGAAGGAGGAGGAGGAGAAGGAAGGAGGAGGAGGAGGAGGAGGAGAAAGAGGAGGAGGAGGCAGATGATAAGGAGGGAGGAGGAAAAGGTGAAAGAAGAGGAGGAGGGAGGAAGAAGAAGGAGGAGCAGGGAGGAGG